TGGTTGAGATCACTTGTAGACGTTCCCTAGGCTCGCGACTAATCACTTACTATAATTTTTTTATGATGATCGACTGAGGCAGGCGAGGTCTTCGCCAACCAGCTGTCCGAATTTCATGAGCACTTGGCATTCCGTAATACCCTCTTTTGCTCATCTATATCGACAATGAATTCACTGTTGTCTGAAGATGTCTTCGTTCCCCCTTAAATGCCCGCTCCGAGGCTCAATAAAATTTAAGCTTAAGGCACAAATCCTAGTTCAAAAAAGTTGCCTAATCATTATATCACATTTCCAGTCTCTTTGCCGTTATAGATATAGATATTAATGATCGACCTTAATTAACAGCAAAAATTTCCCAAGTTTATTATAAAGGTCAAATGATACATTGAGAATGCGTAATGATAGGCAAGTATTTGTATCTGTGGCGAACAAAGAAACAATGGTTTATAAAAAATAAAAAAGAGGTAGGTAAGTTTTCAAATCTACACATTCGTTGTATTAGTCAGGCTGATAAAACCTCAAACACATCGCGAATACCTCATTAACATCAATGTCATGTACGGCATGGTGCTGCACGGGTGGAAGTCATCGGAAAGAAGCCTCAGTAGAACTATATACAATTAACAAAGCTAAGCCACCTCCTCCCAGTGGCCTGTTTTATAATGTAAGCTAAAAAGTGGGGAAATGTTTTACATTGCTGCAGACAGCGTAAAGGCTCTTCAAAGAAAGGCAGTGCCTGGTTCATTACCCTGTAGCTGGTGGTAAAAACCTTAAATTATCTGGTTATGAGCATCGGTGGACTCACTCATTTCAAACAATCTGTGGTTTAGCTTACCTTACTGATTGGATAAGTTGATAAAGGGAAAGGAACTAAAGCCATCCTCCAAATCTGCGTTTACGGATTTACCACTTAACTTCTGCAGTGCCCAAACGGTTAATGTGGAAGAAAGTAATACCGACTACCAGTTGAACGGACAGTTTGTCCTACTTGGTCAAATTATTTCTTTAAATCACATTTATAATAAGAGGGTGTCGAAGACTAGCCAACATCTCACACTTGGATGCTGTAGGCGCTTTCCGGCAGGCTTTCTTTGAAGAAAGAAAGAAACTTCTATTAATAGTAGGGCGGATTGTGCACCCGAATATGAAAAGTAAATAGCACGAATGTTACTGCAACAGCTGTGGGTAAAAAAAGGGAAATTCCCAACACACTGACTATTATTTAACAAGTCTTACAGCAGCGAGATTTTGATGGATTCATTGTAGTCATACTATCCACCATCATCCATTAATTGGATTTGGAAACATGGAGTTTATGCTAAGCTTGCTGTAAAATGACATAAAAAGTGCACATTTTAGTAATAACAAAACATATTGAGTAGAGTATGCAGAGAGTTTAGCCCATTTTTTTGTTCTAATTTTTTTCTTTAAGTGTTTTAGGAGGGCTAGATTGCTAACAATTGACCACTTTTGTGGAAACATGACTAATCATCAGAAAGGTTATTCAAAATGAGGTCCTCCATTACGTCTACACAAATTTATGAAATGAGTTCGAGGCTTTTGGTAATAAAAAAATCATCGTGCAAAAATTTAAATAAATTATAACTTTGTGGTAATTAGTACAGTGCCTCATGAATATTGATGTGTAGAGCATTAAATATAACGTTATGTTCCCAAAAATTATGTTGCCTTTGGCAGTTGGTTTTGTTTGACATTCTACGTCTGCTTCGCTCTGGCGGTGACGCTAGCGCAGCTGTACGTTCACTCCTGCATGAAATATTTGCCAGGATTTCATCATTCACAGTCAACGCAGCAGCGCAGCCCGCCTCAAGGGGGCAAGTCCAGAGCTTCAACCAGACCGACGTCTATGCGTGTGGAAGCGACGCAACATTGGATGCCACAAATCGGCAACTTGTTAAGGTTCCTGTCACATGTGTTTAGAGCACACATTTGTAATAATAGACGGAAATACAAGAGCAATTAATTGAGTGATAGACTGTGCTTTAAATGCCTGACAAACCAATAGAAATAAAGGAATGCAAGTGCTGACGTCGTCGACTAGTGGTGCCCGTCAATTACAAAAGCCGCTGTGATCAACACAAATGCTACATGCTGGAATGATAACTTAGTCCAAGACAGGAAGTTTTATGCTTGGGGATATTTTGAACATCTTGCAAGTAATTATTTAGTCTAATGGCAAGCAAAATTAGGTTATGAACTTGCATTTAGTAGCCGTAATACCTTCTAAGTCTAACACATAAGTACTCGCACACCATTTGAGATGCTACACCTTGATCGGTCACTTTACTCTATAGTCATGATTAATAGACTGTGATCTTCAAACGAATTGCACAGTCAAGTGGATTTTTGGGCATATTAAGGACAGGACACATCTACAATGAACTTGATTAGTGAAGGATGGGTGGGTAGAGAGATAGGTGGGAATAAATGATCATTGAGCCATGCACCTAAAACATTACCATTTCAAGTCGTCCGTTGATAAATCAGCAAGGCAGTTGGGATTGTGCCACCTAACCCTCTATATGCAGTACGAGGAAGCTAAAATACCGAAGGTGTTACTAACTTGACCACCACAATTTCCTCCACCAACTGCGCAATTAGTAGTTTCAAAATCACTTTGACCTAGCAAAGCACTCTGTGTTTATTAAAATAGCGTAGGGCTTTGTCAGATCTGGTGCTGTTCACTTGGTTTTTTTTCAAATAGCCAATCTGCAAACACAAAAGACCTACTCAGAACAATGCGTAGGAGTGTATATCGGTGCTGGTTAATATCTAATCTACGTCAAGTGCTTCGCGACTCCCTTTGCATCGATGCAGCTGCCCACTCGATTTCCCTCTGTGCATTATTTCCTATTTGTAAGGATTGTACTTACGAAATCCTTTCCCTTAAAATTTAAACTGTAGTTCATTTCTAAAAGTGACTTAACTCTTTGACTCAGTGCGTGTTCGGTGAGGTGGCATTAAATTTGGTCCTATTCAACATGCGCTATTGGTAGTTATCGTAGGGGAATAAAAGAGCAGAAGTCTGTTTATCGTTGCATTGTCAAATAGTATTTTCAATCGCACTGTCTTTCGAAAATGGTGGTGGTGATGCTTCCGGTCTCACGTCTGGACACAATCATGCCGAGATGTGTTGATACTAGACAATTTTTCGTTTGCCAAACGTAATCCATAAAAGAGGTGGACAATAAGTTTGAACCAATTCTAACATTGCATTTACTTTCTCCTGAGCTATTATAAAGGAAAGGCTCCGTTGTTTATTATCCTTTTCGAGCTCTCGTTCATCCTTTCTAACCCTTTAAGATCATTTGTGAATGCTTCCTGTGTGTGAAAGAAATCACCCTGAAGCTACGATGAAACTGTTGATACAATCACGTTTGACAAAGACAATCGTGAGACTCATACCTAGATCACCACTGGCAGCCATCTGCCAAGATCCCACGCTTACTCCTACCTCCGTACTCCCCTTTCTTACCCAATCACCTCGACAATGGAGGTACCCTCGTCTAAAGGTGCCCTTTTTCTCTACTAGTGGCCTGGATGGAGGCCAGATAGGATTCTAGTCAAACACACAATCTTTAGTACAGAAAATTAGGCCAAATTTATTTTAATATACACAATCTCATTGGCATTTGGAAGCGTGGCAGTGGTATCCATATGAATGACCTCAATCAAATGTTGTGGTTCTCAAAGTCATTTTTACTAGTTAATTGGTATGCTAATTTTAGGCACAAATTGGCGTGTTTTTTTATAAAAGCGTATATTTCTACATAAAAACGAGAAAATGACTGAATGAGGTTACAAAATCCTCGACAGGTTAGGCGCACCAAGATTGTGAGGCCTCAAACACACTGCGAATGCATGCCACCTACACTGCTATCATGCATGACATTGTACGGAACTCGTGGAGCTCACGGTAAAGAAAGCTAGTTCAACCATCTAAAATAAACTAGTCAATGCTGCCTTTTATTACAGATTTCTGTACGAAAGACAGGTTTCCTGACCTAAGTGGTTTTTTATACAATGCATGTAGAAAAGTAGGAAGGGGATTCGCTTGGGGCTACTCAGGAGCAAGCACCATTGCAGGCAGCTTAAAGGTTCTTCGAAAGAATGAGAGTGTGTTACATTTCAGTATTACCCCACAGTATAATTGTAAACAACTTTTATCCCATGGTTACTAGCATTGAAACACTTGCTCGACTCACTGATGGGATGAGAGGATAAAAGGTAACACATTTTGGCAGCCCTCCTTTCCTGTGATGATAGGTCATACGCCTACCTTTCATAAAATATTAATGGCAAGTAGTGAGTTAAACGATTGAATTACCCACTTGATTAAATCATCTGTCAATCTTGCATTTCTAATAGCAGGACACCAAAGGTTAGACACAAACTTAGACCTCACATGTGACCGCTGGAGGCATTCAAGCTCTTTGTAAATACTTTACCAGATGAATAGCCTGCAGTAGTAAGCACGCCTGGGTGGATTCCATGAAAGGAAAAAATGTTTATTAATATTCAAGCGGACTGTATACCCAAACATAAGAAAGCACATAACACGGATGTTACTACTAAAACTACCTTTGAAGCATGAGAAATTTCCAACACACTGACCAGTGCATGGTTTACCTTACAGCAGGTTGTCCTTGACACACTTTTTGTGACCATCTATAATTTTGATCAAAAATTTCAATATTATGAGAAAATAAATGCAGCAATTCGCCGATTATACACACTTTTGCATTAACACAAAACACTTTGATTTGAGCCTGTTAAGATCTCTCCTTATTTTACATGCAGAGTTTGTCATTGTAGTGATCAAATTTAGGCAGCTTTGCATGAAGCTGTTGCCACTGTCATCCCAGCATCTGTGATAATGACGTGTGCTGTGACACTATCGTTTTCACAATTTTAAGAGCACTATTGCATCATTCCAAATTTTCTGCGCTTACTTTACTAAAACTACTCTTGACAACGGTCCCAGGGCACTTTCGAAGTCATGAGATCCGTAATTTTGAAATTAAAACGCCTTCAACCAGCAGCAATTTCATTCAGTATACGTCCCTTTTCACACTTTATGGAAGTGTGCGAATCCACACAGCTGGTAATTAACGAGTGGTTTTTACCAATTACAAAATTCACTGTGATCTTTAGCATAAATGTCACAAGCTGGAGTGACAACTAGGGCCAAGGCATGATTTACCATATTTGGCGATATTTTGCTTATCCTGGGAGCGACTAGTAAGATTAAGGACAAGTGGGATGTAGTACTTGCTTTCAGCTAATATAATTACTTTGAAACTTTACAAATGAGTACATTCCCTCCATTTAAGATCGCATGTCTTCAACATTTACTTATTCAGTGCCATAGACACGATTAGCAAGCTACGACATTCAGGAAGAATAGCACAATCAACTGGATTCGTTGATACATCAAGGTCAGGAAAAGCCAAGGATGCAATCAACTAGTGAAGAATCGGTGGGTAGAGGGATGAGGAGGAATGAATGGTCATTTATCCATGTAGGCGATGCACATCACATCATATCAAAAGGTTTGCTTATCAAGCAGCAAGTCAGCCAGGACTGCGTCAGCTTACCTACTACGCACAAAAGCAAAAAGCTGATTAGGCATTGCTAACTTGACCACCAAGAATGCCTTCATCAGCTACGCAATTAACATTTGTAAAATCGCATGTAAAACTTCTTGAACTTTTGCTTATCAAAGCACACACTGTGAGTTTAGTGGATTAGCACAAGTTTTTTCAGTTCTAATGCACATTGTTTTCTTTCAAGTCGGCAATCTGTGCATTTAAAAGACCCACTTGGTGCAACGTGTAGCAGTGTATGTCACTCTGGTTGATGGTCCATTTCAATTTATCCATCTGATAAAATCCTTTTCATGATTTTTCAACTACTGTTTGTTCTTTAAAGGGACTTAACTACATCACTCAGTGATCTTTCATTAGGGTGACACTGCGTTTGGTCGCATCCAGCAAGTGTTACCGTACTCATGGTAAGGGAATGCAAGATCGGAGGCTTGTTTGAGGTTTCATTGTCGATGTTACACTGCCGGTGATCATTCTCAATCTCAATATCATTCAGAATGACGGTAGTAATATTTCCTGTCTCACGCTTGACACACTCCTGTTGGAATGTGCTGATGACATTCGACGATTTTCCGTTCGCAAACCTCCTTTCAAAAAACAAAACAAAGAATTGTTTCAACCATATTTTCTTATTAAATTTGCTCCCTCGTTCACTTTTATGCAAGAAGGAAGGTGCATAGTGCGGCTGCAAATTTTGCAGGTCTTTTCATGCTCTTGTCCACTCCTCCTATTTAGCTGACTTGGCTTTTAGATGTCACATGTGAGCACAAACAATTACTGTAAGGCTAAGAAAAATTGGTTGTTGTAGTTACGTTTGTCAAAACGGATGAGTTGCTCATGCTTAGGCTGCCTCCAAGAGACATCCACCATGATAACACCCTTTTTTGCACTATGTACTCCCCTTTCTTACTCCTGTACCTCCACAATG